GTCTACATCAACTCTGACCTTTAACCCCCCCAGTGGCTAATCAATAACTCTAAAACGGTGTCACCAGTTGGATTAACTAGATGGGGTACCTTCCAGGAACTTCGACTTGTGGTACTTCTGACACCTGCACCATCAACCAACACACTTACAGCCCCTGAAAATGTTTAGCCAATCAGATCCCTCATGTCTACACGAGCGTTGACCTTTAACCTGTGATGTCATCTCTGTGGTGCACCATTAACCAATAAATGCACGGTCCTTGAAAGTTGTCAGCCAATTGACTTCCTTGACTGGTTGGACGCAAACCCCTAACGCAAGATTGACTATTAACCGGGGGCATCTCAGTGGCATCTCTGTACCTTTAACCAGTGAGCCTACAGCCCTTTAAAGCATTTGGCCTGTTGGATTCCTGGATTGGCAGGATGATATGACATCACTTTTCTTAAAGGGCCAGTTGTGATCAGCGAAGAGACACATCTCTGCATCCCTGAGGGTCTTAGAATGCCAGATCTCCTGACCAGAGCAACATGCAGAAGCTCTCCTTCCTGTAACCCAAGAGGAGACAATCCAATGATGGGAATGTGGCCTGTGTTCTGGTCTCCCTTCCGCTTAGAAAGCCCTGAGATATTTGGGTGGGAAAAGACACCAGGAGGACTTTTGGATCTCTGGAGATTTTGCTGCATTGACTGATCTGGGGGAAAACGAATCTCCTCACTTGTTAGGATTCGGTTTGATCTGAAATCTTTGAGAGAGAATAAATATGGTCCCTCACTGGTTGTTTTATGGCTCTAATAATTACCCCTTGTCAAAGCAATCTGGATTTCCTAATTTATCTAAGATCAGACACCAGCCCTGACTCCATTACGTTCCATATTTACCCCGTGTGTCACTCTAGATTCAATGAGGGCAGAACCTGGCCCTGGCTGCATTGACATCAGTGGGGACACTCTGGATTTAGCTCAGGGTCACTGAGATCAGCATCTAGCCCTTTCTTTTTTATTTTTGTGTAAAGTCTGCAAAACGAGCCTTTTATGTCCTTGTGTCCAGATGCTTTTTCTTGCTGCTGCTTTCTCTGCTTCGTTCAGAAACCCTGACCTCACGCTCTCGGTCTGTTTGATTTTGTGTTTGATAAAGACACAGAAACTCATTCACTCACAGCCCACTGCGTGGCTATATATAACACCCAGCGGAAGCCATCAAGTTGGTCGTGACCGAGAAACGTCTTTTCGCTGGTCAGTTTTATTCTTTCAAGAAAGAGGCAGCACCAAAAAAAAATAAAATGGAATCTCAGCTTTAGAGTTGATGGAGAGAAAAGGATTTTTTTTTTTCCACAGAAAATTTCGACAAATAAATTTTACACTCATTAATTATTTTCGGCAGAGAATTTCAACTTTGTGGCAAAAATCTCAAAACCCGAACTGTTTTGATTCAAAGCAGGGCTGTGTAGGAGTTGTCATTCCAGGCCTCGTTCTCTTTGGGCCAGAGTGTATATTCTATGATGCATCCCTGCTAGGGACTCCCATAACACCGTCCCCTCATCGAGAGAGAACATGGTGCATCATGGGAGATGTAGTTCTTCCAAGGAGCCTGCCTCGTAGAGAATGAGGCACCTGAACTCCCGTGGGGCACCACTTGGAAGTTTGGGTGCCTCCTTTCCTGTGGGCCAGGCTCCCGGGCTGAACTCTGCCTCCCCTCCTGGTGAGAGGAGTGACACCAGTTCACACCAGCTGGGGATCTAGCCCCATCAACACCCATGGAGCAACAGATGATTGACCCCAGCTGGGGATCTGGCCCACAGCCTCACACATCTATCCCTACGGTCATCTGTAAGTAACTGTCCAGAAGCAAAAGGCTCAGCGCGTTGACTAAGCGAGCACTAACCCTGGGAGATGCCTCCAAGGTTGTATGATGAAGGGATCTCCTGCCGTTCCCTGCCTCTCCCTTTGCTGCACAGTCAGATCTGACTCTTCAGAGCTGCTGGGTCAGGATGGAGGTGTATTCTGTGTGAGCCGGAGCCTTGAAAGTGATCTTGGCGTAGTGCAGATCCTCGCTCGTGTTACCACCAGCTCTGCTGTCCCCCTGTTGAAGACACAAATCAAGTCACCAGGGCTCCATCTCCCGCTGCCCTCTTTCCAGCCCCTTTAGTGCATTTAAGGGGGAAGTGGGTAAAATGGGGACCCTGGCTTTGTGGTGGGGGATTCGTGTGTGCTATTGTCCCCAGCACACATAGCCCCAGGCCGGTGTGACTCAGCCCCCAGAGGGACCCCCCAATTGGCTACAGCTTGGGATTGAGAGGCACCGGCAGAGCTGCGTGCGGAGAAGGGAGCCCAGGGCTGGAACAGCAGAGGGGCTGCGAGTTGAGATTTTATCAGTCCACCTGTCTTTCTGCACCCTGATCTGTACATACGTACATGTCTGCCTATCCCCATGTGCACGTCTGTCTGTCTAGATCAGTGGTTCTCAGCCTCTCCAGACTACCGTACCCCTTTCAGGAGTCTGATTTGTCTCGCATTCCCCAACTTTCACCTCACTCAAAAACTACTGGCTTAAAAAATCAGACATCAAAATACAAAAGTGTCACAGCTACACGATTACTGAAAAATTTCTGCCTTTCTCATTTTTACCATATCATTAGAAAAGCTCAATTGGAATATAAATATTATAGTTACATTTCAGCGTGGAGTGTACAGAGCAGTATAAACAAGTCACTGTTTGTATGATATTTTAGTTTCTAGTGACTTTGCTGGTGCTTTTTATGTAGCCTGTTGTAAACCGGTGCAAATATCGAGATGAATTGATGCACCCACTGAAGCCCTCGGTGTTGAAAACCACTGGTCTAGATGATAGATAACCTGGTACTCTTTTGCAGCTTCTGTGACTGTAATATTTAAGGGCTAAAGCACCCCGAACCCTCTCCTGTGTTCCGTTGGTCAGGTTTCTACCAGAGTCACAGGGACCACGCCTCAGCACGGTCTTGAAACCAACACTGCCACCCAGTTGAACTCAGGTTCCAATTTTCATGGTCTCACCTTTGCCGGCTGCTGGCGTTGGGTGTCTGGGGAGGAAAAAGGAGGCATGGGTTATTGTTCGAGGAGATGAATGGAGGTGTACGAACTGAACAGAGGACTGGAGAATGTAGATCGGAGGCTCCCATTCCCCCTTGCACCAGTGGGACGGAAGAGAAGTACATTTTGAATGCAGAAAGAACGGGCAGATGGAGTGAGCACGGGAGGAGGAGTAAATACCTTTGCGTCCGCGCAGCAGGAGGTTGGTAACTAAGAGGATGATGCTGACGCCTGCCAGAGCAATCGTGGCTCTGTAGATGGTGAGTTCTGTGCTGGTATCCCGCTTCGATTCCTTTCTGTCGTCTAAATAAAAGGAAGGATGTTAATGTTCCCAGTTCTCTCCTGGGAAGAGCCCTAGGAAGCCATTTCTGGTGGTTTTTGTTGCACTGGATTCTGATCTCACTGGTACCATATCGGTGTGAATGCAGAGTGACTCCGCTGATCCTAATGGAGTCAGGGCTGGATTCTGATCTCAGAGCTCCCAAAGTGAATCTGGAGTAACTCCATTGCAGTGAATGGAGTCCAGTCTGGATTCTGGTCTCCATGACCCCAGTGTGAATCCAGAGTGACCCCACTGATGCCAAGGGAATCGGGGCCATAGACTGATCTCAGTGATTCTGGGGTGACCCCAGAGTGAGCCCACTGACACCAATGGCGTCACTCCTGATTCTGATCTCAGTGAATCTGGAGTGACCCCGGTGATGTCTGTGGAGTTGCTCCCAAATGGAGGCCACAGAGGAGGGTCCGGTTCGGTTGGTGCAGCGTGTTAGTGGCCAGCTGCCCTCCTGGGGTCTGGGCTAATAGCCAGCAACCTCCATTCATACATGGGACCAACGGGAGCGAATCTCAAGAGACTGGCACACCAGAGAGCGTGGTGGGGCCGTGTGGGTCACGGGGCCATTCTGGTCTCTCTCTGGGTCAGCGGCTGCGTGTCTATGGGGCTGTGGGTGTCTGATTTCTGGCGCTGTGTGCTCCTCTCTGTGTCTATGGATCTGGGGTTGTGTGTGCCCTTCACTCACCCCTGCATTCAGCAACCAATTTCCTGTTCAACAAACACTGCAAGAAAACTCCCCCAGTCTCCACCAGCGCTTATTAAAAGGCCCTTCGCAGCTGCCAGTATGAGTCTGATCTTCCCGCAGTGAGTCAGCAGGGCCGGGTCATACCTCACCTGCAGCAGGCCAAAGAGCTCAGAGCCAACCCGGGCCAATAGCGAGAGAACAGAGAGAGAGACGTCTCTGAGCGCCCGGGAGAAGTGGGGGTCCGGGTTTCTAACCACCTCTCTCACCCCGAGGCACTGACAGGATGTGAGACACACCAGAGCTGCAGTTAGAACGACTCAGCAGACAAAGTGCCTCAAATCGCAGGGAGATCGTTCCATATAAACCTGATCCCCCCACCCCCACTCCCCGCATGATCATCGCTCAGATATTCCTGATCTCCACTCCAGCTTGGAGCCAGCCCCATGTCCCATTCCTCGCTCCCTGAGCCAGCCCGTCCCCTGCCTTGGGGCCAGAGTGGAGCCAGTACCCCCTCTAGGGGACAGGCCCCGTGTCCCATTCCCTGCCCCCCTGACTCTCACCAGTCGCACTCTGGTTTCTCCGCATCACTCTCAGCTTGGTGCCTCCTCCCATCCCTGTCTCCCCATGGTCGAGTTCGATGCAGCACTGATAGAGGCCGGCGTCCCGCTCCTGCAGCTCAGCCAGGGTCAGCGTCGCCTTCCCTTGTCTGTGCTCGTCCAGACTGGACACACGGAGCCGCCCCCGGTAGAAGGGGTGGTTAGAATCCAGCTCCAGATCCTCTCCGGATCCCCTGAGCCAAAGCACCTTGGTTCTCTTGCTGTCTCTGGTCTGGAAGGTGCAGCTCAGGGTCATGTTCTCCCCGGCTGTCATGTTGAGGGACCTGGGCTCCTGGGAAACTCCCAGACCAGCTAGGGAAGAAAGAGAATCTGCATCATACACCAGACAGCACCGTGCAGCTGGATAGACCCGTCCTGGCCTTTAGAGAGAGCATCAGCCACTGTATTCCTGTGTGTAGAGCTAATCTTCCATCTCTCTCTAGTTTAGTAGCAGTTTCTGTCTCTCTGTTCCCTGATTCTCCTTCATCCCTCCACCCATCCTCTGATCCTAGATCCATCCATCTATTCTCCTATCCTAGCTCCATCCATCTGTAGACCCAGCTGGTCATAGACCCATCTCCAGTCCTAGATCCGTCCATCCAAACTCTCATTCCTAGATCCATGTCTGTCAATCCATTCATCCATTCTCGTCCCTCGCTCCCTAGATCCACATCCATCTGTCTATCCCCAGGGAAGATCTGCAATCCCAGATGCTGGATAAATCCAGTAATTTGCTCACCTTATCAAGAGCCGTATCTCTGAGCTCTGTGGCAGACTCACCTGGTTTCTGGGCAGACGCTCCAACATTTGGGATCTGCACTCTCTTGCAACCGGCTGGAATTTCTGCGACAGCTTCGTTTGAATGAAAAAACAGGAGTGGGTGGGTGAGGATCTGTGGCCTGCAAGGTGTAGGAGTTCAGACCAGATGATCATGATGGTCCCTTCTGGCCTTAATGGCTATGAGAATATTTTAGTGCATTTCTGATGGCCACCATCTTGGCCAACACCCTGCGGATTGAACTGGGGACCTCAAAATCTAAAAGCACAAGTTGCTACAGCTTGAGCTAGAAGAGCTGGGGGAAGTAGCCATTTGTGTTCTGGGTAGATCAGCAGGGAATGTGATCTCTTAACTCTCACTCTCCAGTGAGTGACACATTCAGTACGGAAATGAACGATCCAGTCTGCACAGCAGCCCTGGGTTGGCAAATCCGATGTTAAATCCAGTCTAGTTGACACTGGCTCCACGTGTTCTGTTTGCAGCATGCTAAAGATTTGTGTGGGGAGCGAGAGATTAGAGACATCTCAGGAAGGGAGGGATAGATCCTATGGGGAGAAGGATGGAGGGACAAGTATTGTCGAGGGAAGGATTGATGGAGGGAAGGATGGGTGGATGGATACTGCACAGGGGTGGATAGAAAACAGAGGGGAGGGTGGATGGATTAGTTTAGATAGATGGGAATGTATAGGGATGGCTAGATACGGCTGTGGGGATGGGGAGGGATGGACAGATGGAGCTGGGGGACTAGACAGACCGACGCCCAGGCTAGCTAGCCAAAAAGTTGCTGACATACCTGCTGCCCAGGTGGGGATGAGGAGGACAATGCAGAGGACGGGGCTCAGAGCTAGCAGCTGCTTCATGGTCCCCGCTGTCTTGGGCAGCTCCGCGGGGCCCGCTCAGCTCCGCCTCAGCATCCTCCGGAAGCGTCAGCCTACGAGGGCCGGTGGAAGCATTTGTGGTCAGCACCTCTGAGATGGGCCGGATAAGGGGGGGAGGAGAGTTACGTGTGCGTCTGTGCTATTAAACGTGACAGGGGCCTGTGTACGTGTCTGTGACCATGTGCGACCCCTGCTGGCATGGATCAGCCCCGCTCCTCTGTGTGTCCTGGACCCCAGACCACCCACAGCTGTGGGGGATTCCCCTCTACTCAGAGCTGGGGTGGCCTGTGAATAGGGAGCAGGGGGAGTGGGGTCCCCGTCCGCACACCTCCTTGTAGCTCCCCATCAGCCTTGGGATGTAGCAGAGGGACAGCTGGCCTGTCTGTAAGGTAGGCGGGTTTGGCACCGTGTGTTTTATTGGGGGGGGAGGTGGATGGAAGAGGGTGGAACGGGGCAGGATGGATGGATCGATCCGTCCTCAGCGCCTTCGGTCTGTCTGTCAGCAATTCATCCTGTCCATCTGTCTGTGGAGAAGGCCCTGTCTGCATCCACCCATCTCTCCGTCCAACCACCACTCCATCCATCTGTCTGTGGTAGGGCCCTGTCTGCATCTGTCCACCCATTGCTGTGTCCATCCATCCATCGCTCTGTCCATCTGTCTTTGGTAGGGCCCTGTCTCCATCCATGGCTCCATCCATCTGTCTGTGGTAGGGCCCTCTGTCCATCCATCCATCCATCCATCTGTAATACACTCTCTATTTGTCTATAGTGCTGTCCCCCTCCCCTCTGTAATATGCTCTCTCTTTTCATCCCGCACATCCCATTTTCCCAATCCACCCCCGTCACCTCCAGCTCCCCCCTGACAGTGGAAACCCCCCAGTGATCCTGACACCGACACGTAGCTCCCAGCTGTCCCTGGCATAGCTGATCTCCTCCAGCGGTCCCTGGAGTCAGCAGCTCCCTCCGGGATCCACTGGGGGATCATTTCGGGGCAGTGAGAGGGGGCTGGGACCCACGGAGCGATAAGGAAACCATCACCACTGGGGGGCCACAGCCCTAAGGCCAGCGGCTGCGTCAGAGAGGCCGAGGGCCCCGGGGATGCAGAAATGAGCCCGTCCTCCTGCTGAACCCAACACCCCTGGTCAGTTTCGCTTTCACACCCACCTGTGCACAGGCCCAGTGACCTCCTGGCTGCCTGGTATCTCAGCAGGCGCCTCCCCCCTCGCCAGCCACAAGAGTTTCCATCTCGCGCCTGGGCTGCTCGCTCCAGAGCAGCCGTTTCTTGTCGTCCCTGGGTCCCGTCTGCTCGATGATCCCGGTCTGCGACTCCTGGGGCGGCTCCCAGCCTGCGAAGAGCATGGGGCGGCTGCCGGCCCCTAGCATCATCTGCTTCGTCTTCCTCGTCCCCTCGATAGCAGCTGGTGAGACAAGCTCAGAGTTATGCGGGCACTGGAGATAGAATCCAGGAGTCGTGGCTTCCAGGCCCCTTGCTCTAACCCACTAGACCCCCACTCCCCGCCCACAGCCCGGGAGAAAACCCAGGAGTCCTGGCTTCCAGCCCTCCCTGCTCTAATGCACTAGACCTGCACTCCCCTCCTAGAGCCGAGGACAGAACCCAGGAGTCCTGGCTCCCAGCCCCCCTCCCCTGCTCTAACCCACCCCCACTCCCCTCCCATAGTGGTATGGAGAGATGGTTTCAGAATACATAGACAGCTGAGGACAGATGGATGGAAAGGGAGAGAGGGGAGGGGTGTTTAGGGGAATAGATGGATAAAGAGAGATGGAGTGGGTGTTTGGGGGTGGATGGATGAAAAGGGAGAGAGATGGAGGGGGGTGGATGGATGGAAAGGGAGAGAGGGAGGGGTTGTTTGGGGTGGATGGATGGATAGATAGGGGAATACGTGCAGGGGTTGTACCGGGATGGATAGGTTTATTCTAGAGGGTTGTCTGGCCTACCATCGTTAAGGTTTAGACCAGCTTTGTCTTTAAAGCTTGACTCTCCTAAGTGCTCTAAAGTCCGCATGGTTACTTGCATTGCCTTGAAATGCGATGTGCTTCCCGGGGCTGCAGGCTGGGGTTCGTGGGTAGCGGGGTGTGGAGGGGAATGGGTGGTTCAGGTTAGCGGTGGATGCATGGCTAGGCGGACAGAACTGAGCATGGATGGAGGGAAGGCCAAATAACTGAGGACAGAGGGATGGACAAAGCTGAGGGTGGATGGATGGAAGGAGAGATGGATGGATGGATGGATGGATGGAGCTGAAGACAGACGGACGGATGGATGGAGCTGAGGGTGGATGGATGGATAGGTGGAGCTGAGGACGGACAGGCGGGTGGATGGATGGACAGACAGGTGGATGGACGGAGATAAGGTCAGACAGACGGGTGGATGGATGAGAGAGCTGAGGATGAATGGACGGACAGACAGGGCTGAGGATGGGTGGGTGGATGGACAGATGGATCTGGGGGTGGCTGGATGGCGCAGGGGATAAACAAGTGGATGGATGGACAGATGGACAGAGCTGAGGACAGATGGATGAGGCTGTGGACAAATGGGTGGGTGGCCAGACAGATGGACAGAGCTGAGGACGAACGGATGGACAGAGCCGATGGTGGATGGACGGAAAGTGCTGAGGACAGACGGGTCTCAGGCTGGGTAGAGCGGTCGAGTGATAGATGATAGACAGACAGACTCTGCTGCGGGAAGGCCAGGGGGACAGACAGACAGACGCGGACAGCGCCCCGTGACAGCAGCACAGTCCCTGCCCTGTGTCCATCACATGGCTCGTTCTCCCTGCAGGTCTCGGGGTTCAGCAGCTGCCCCCCACGGCGAGCGTCCTGGCCGGGGGCAGCATCACCCTGAGCTGCACCTTCCACAGCCACAACCAGACCGGGACACAAGTCACCTGGGCCAGGGGCTCCCAGGAGGCCATCGTGCTGGACCCTGACCACCCCTTCTACCAGGGGCGGTTGGCCAAGAGCCAGCGGAACCAGCAGGGCCGGGCAGAGGCCACGGTGACCCTGTCAGAGCTGATGGAGAGGGACACAGATCTCTACCACTGCTACATCACCCACCCGCAGGGCGAGCAGGCGAAGGGCACGGGGACCACCCTGACTGTGACGGGCAGAGGTGATTTGGGGGGCTTGGGACATGGGGTCTTTCCTTCTCGGGGGGTGCCGGCTCTGATCTGGGCCCAGGGCAGGGACTGGCTGGCTCAGGAGGGTGGGGAATGGGGCATTTCCCCTCTAGGGGGTGCCAGCCCATGAATCTCCTAACCCCTCATTTCCGTTGTCTAGAGTCCCAGGGGGACGGGAGCTCTGTTCCCAGAACAGCCAACCCGGGGCTGCTGGGTGGTCGGGTCATTCACTTTGCATTGACTGCGCTAAATTCTTCTCTTATTTTTAATTCAAACAAAGCTGTAACAGAAATTCCAGCCAGCTGCAAGAGAGCGCTGGTCCCATATGTCGGAGCATCTGCCCAGAAACCAGGTGAGTTTGCCCCAGAGTTCAGGGTAACTGCTCAAATGACTGGATTTATCCTGTCTCCAGCATTGCCGCTCTTCTCTGGGGGTAGACAGAGCAGTGTGGATGGAGGGCGGGAGGGATAGAAAGGGAGGATGGATGTAGAAAGGAAGGGTGGATAGGTAGCAGGATGGATGGATGGCTGCAGGACTGGAGAATGGATGGACGCACCAAGGAGAGTCCGGGAACAGAGAGACAGACACGGCTACGGAACTAGAGAGAGGTGGAAGATTATCACTACACACAGGAATGCAGCGGCTGATGCTCTCTCTAAAGGCCAGGACGGGTCTATCCTGCCGCACGGGGCTGCCCGGTGTGTGATGCGGGTTCTCTCTCTTCCCTAGCTGGTCTGGGAGTTTCCCAGGAGCCCAGGTCCCTCCACATGACAGCCGGGGAGAACATGACCCTGAGCTGCACCTTCCAGAACAGACATGGCAGCAGAGCCAAGATAATTTGGCTCAGGGGATCCGGAGAGGATCTGGAGCTGGATTCTAACCACCCCTTCTACCGGGGGCGGCTCCGTGTGTCCAGGATGGACGAGCACAGACAGGGGAAGGCGACGCTGACCCTGGCTGAGCTGCAGGAGCAGGACTCCGGCCTCTATCAGTGCTGCATCGAACTCGACCGTGGGGAGACAGGGATGGGAGGAGGCACCGAGCTGAGAGTGATGCGGAGAAACCAGAGTGCGACTGGTGAGAGTGAGGGGGGCAGGGAAAGGGGCACGGGGCCTGTCCCCTCCAGGGGGCGTCATCCCAGGAATCTCCTAACCCCTCATTTCTATTGTCTAGGGGCTGCAGGGGAACGTGAGCTCTGTCGGGTCTTTGGGCCCCTCTTTTACCGAGCCATCATCTCCCTGTCATTCATCGTTCTCTTCTCCCTGGGAATCATCCTCAGCCTGCGGCCTTGGAACGGTACCGCCTCCACGCGGGTTCTGCCTTCACTTCCTGTCCCAAACAGTTACATGGCATCATTGCGCGGGCTGGTAACCAGCCCCTGCCCCACCCCAGAGCAGCTGCTTCTCAGCACTGTGCGAGGGATCCCCATGTTACCAGGCGCCACAACCCACTCCAGAGGGGCCGTGTCCCAGCGCCGCGTGAGGGGTCCCTGTATAAACAGCCCCTGCGTTCTACCCCAGAGGTGGAATCAGTCTCTTTCTGGTATTTATTGGGCTCCATCCCCGTAGCGTTTCCCCCCAGTCTGTTCAGTGACGCTCTTGTTCTGTTTCCCAGCTGTCCCCGTGGATCCCGCAGTGGGTGCTGGCTGCAAGCCGCCCCCGGCACCGGGACAGGTGTCTCTTATTTAGCCCCTCAGGGGGCCAGTCACCAGCCGGATTTTCCGAGCTCCAGGTTCAGAAGCCGTCAGACTTCGCTGGACTCTGAGCCACCTGCCGGGGGCTTCTGCGTGGGCGGGGCTTCTCCGCTCTCCTCTGCTTCTGTCTGTGGGTCTGACCTCCACATCATGGGTGTGAGAAGAACAGTAAAGAAAAGGAAATATTTCTCCAGATTCATTCCGTGTTGGACAATATTTTTCCTTTTACGAATGTAAATTACATGGTGTAATGGAGTCAGCTGCCAGAGAAAACCGAATTCTAGAGAAAAGGTACCTGGTTTATACAGGAAAAACCGGTCTGGAGCAGGCTTGATTTGTCAGAAGGAATTTGCCGATTCAAAGAGACACGTGTTGCAAAAATAGATATATTTCAATGTGTGGAAATAAAATCCATTACGTGAAAATTCCTTTATTCACAATCATGTTATTCCTCGTAGAAAATAAATGACAGGGCGGGGAAGGAACATGGCCCAAGATGAGACACTGAACTGAGGACAGAACCCAGGAGTCCTGGCTCCCAGCACCACTGTACCCACTAGGCCCCACTCCTGTCTCAGAGCCGGGGAGAGAACCGAGGAGTCCTGGCTCCCAGACTGTGCCCCCCGTGCTCTAACCATTAGACCCCACTTCCCTCCCAGTGGGGTGCAGCTACGCACACTCACCAGCCAGCCCCTCACACTGTGCATAGCACCCCCCGCCACCCCACATCCATCCCTTGTCCCCGGCCTCTCGCTGCAGCCGTCTCAGAGGTGCTCAAAACAAACCCTTCCACCGGCCTCCCCCGGAGGTGACATTTCCGGAGGATGCTGAGGCTGAGCTGAGCTGGCCCCATGGAGTCGCCCAGAGGGCGGGCCTGAGCCCTGTCCTCTGGATTGTCCTCCTCACCCCCACCTGGGAGCGGGTATGTCGGCAAATCCCCCACCTCATGCATCTTTAGCGCACTGCAAACGGGAAGTGTGGAGCCAGCATAAACTAGACTGGACTGAACATCAGAACATCGAACCCGGGGCTGCTCGGTGGTTGGGTCGTTCATTTTTGACCCATTCCCTGGTGGAACCGTATCTCTCTCTTTCTCGCTGGAATTTATAGAGCTCCATCCCCGTAGCATTTCCCCCCCCCCCCCCCCAAGAGGTTCAGTGACGCTTTCACTCTGTTTCCCAGATACACCTCCGCGTTCTTATTGGCTGGGCAAAAACTCGCGGGCAGTGGGGCCGGAGGCCCCCTGCCCCCCCAACAATGGCGCCCCTGTCGAGCGGCCCCGGGGAGCGAGCAGAAGGGGCTGTGCAGGAGCAATGGGTACCTGGGAGCTTTGTCACCCCCTAGTGGCCGCTGCCGTTATCGTTCTCCTTGGTACAGGAAACGGCCTGTGGCTCCGGGCGTCGGGCTCCTGGGTGTGGGCAGAGGCGGATTTACAATCAAACACACAGTGCTCCGGCATGGGGCCCCCCAACTACAGGGGGACCCCGGGCCGGGCAGCCCAGCACCGTCCACGACCCCCTGCGGGGGGACCCTTGCGGGGGCAGAAGCTGCGGGGGAGAGCAGGGAGGGAGCCATTTAAGGGCCGTGCTGGAGGTGTGGCGTGCGGGGCGCTCGCCCAGCTGGTGAGCCGGGCTCCTGCTGGCTCCCGGGGCTCCTGCTGCTGGCTGGTGCTGGCGGCCAGGTGAGGCCCCCACACACCCAGCCCCCTGCCCTCGCTCCTGACCTCCCCACAACCCCAGCCCTGACTCCTGCACCCCCCTCACACACCCCAGCCCCTGACCTCCCTGACTCCTGCACCCCCCCCATCTCCACCTGCACCTCGCGCACCAAACAGAAGCTGCCCCAGGTAAGCGCCCTGCCCCCCAACCCTCTGCCCCAGCCCTGAGCCCCCTCCCGCATCCTAACTCCCTCCCAGAAGCTGCACCCCAACCCCCAGCCTGCTCCTGCACCCTAACTCTCAGACCCCACACCCCAACCCTGAGCCCCCTCCCACACCGTAACTCCAGACCCTGCACCCCAACCCCACCCTGCTCCTGCACCCTAACTCCCTCCCAGACCCTGCACCCCAACCCTGAGCCCCCTCCCACACCCGAACTCCTGGCCCGACCCTGCACCGCAATGGTTTTTTTTATAAAGCGCTCTTATCCAAAGCACTTTACACTAGTTGGCTAACGGTACAAACAATATTTGGAAAGATCGTTAAGTGTCCACCGAGACCCTTAGCAATTTTCAAGTGGTCTGTGAAAAAAAAGTTCGACGACAAAAGCCATCGAGGTCCCTCACTTGATTTTCATTTACTTCCTATTCCTTATACTAGAGGAGGGGGAGGAAGAAAAAAAAGAACGAAAAACAGGGATGGGGGTCACGAAAGCTCATGCTCAAATAAATTGGTTAGTCTCTAAGGTGCCGGGGCCCCAAAAATGAAGCTGAGCACAGGGCCCCACTAACTCTAAATCCGCCACGGGGTGTGGGTGGGTCTGGGGAGGGGACTGTGGCCCCTGCAGGGCTGCTGGTGTGATCCTTCTTCAGGGATCTCTAGGGCCAGGCCCCAGGTGGTGTCAATCGTCTGTAGCGCATCTGACTTCAGTGGAACGGGTTCCCAGAAGCTCATGATCTGGCCCCATTGAGGTCAGTGGCCGCGCGGCCTCTTGACACCAGCTGGGATCCGGCCCAGAGGCTTTGACAGCATAAATTTTTGTGACCTGGTCTCGGGGTGGGGCTCGAGCTGGGCAGAGTTACATTTTCGGAAGGAACCCTAGAAAATCAAACCTGAATCGGCCCTTTATGCTCGCCAGAGGGTGACGTACACGGGGAGGCGAGTGGGGTCTTGTGGGTTCAGAGCAGGGGGTTGGGAGCCAGGACTCCTGGGTTCTCTCCCCAGCTCTGGGAGAGGAGAGGGGTCCAGTGAGTTAGAGCCCCCCTGAGCCAGCCCACTCCGATCACACTTGGGGCAGCTCTCCCTTCCCAGAGCGACCAGCTCAGGGTCTCCGCAGACTCAGGCATGGGTCCCACTCGCCCCTGGCTGGAGAGATTTCTTACACCCATGAGGGCTAGAAGCATTTTTGGCTCTGCAAGCTGAGCGCCTGGAGATCGACTCCAGCTCATGGGACGGAAACCGTGGTCAGTTATTTGTGCGTGGCACCCGGCCCTGACTCCGACACTTCTGTAGCTGATTGTAACTCACCCCTGGTCCCCGCTTCCCTCCCAGCTACCACCTTTGCAGAAGCTGCAGCCCTGAAAGAGGCTGAATTTCCTGTTTCTCACCACGATGCGCAGGGGTGAAAGTGAAGACAGAGCCCCGAGCAACTCGGCACGTTTCAGCCCACCACAGAAACTGCAGAAAGTTCCAGTCGCAAATGGACCCTCCCTCATGGTGCTGAGTGCTGCACAGACCCCTCCCCTCTGGGAAAGATCGGGACCCCTGTCGTGCCAGGCTCTGCACAGACCTGAACTGAAGGATGACAAAGGGTCTGGACTCCTGGGTTCTCTCCCAGCTCTGCGATGGGAGTGGGGACTAGGGGGTTAGAGTCAGGGGGGCATGGGAGTCTTTTTCTGCTAGACCACACTGAACCAGAACTTAGGATAGAACCCAGGAGTCCTGACTCCCAGCCCTCCCCCCGGCTCCACCTCTCCTCACTCTCTCCCCACAGCTGCAGTGTGAGGATGGTGCCCGTGGGAGCCAGCTGAGGTCACTCAATCAGGGTGAACGGCAAACAGAACGAGGAAGACAAACCCCAAAAGCTGGTGGATATTCCAATACTGAGATTAACCCAGCCAGCCCCAAACAGCCTCTGTACGAGCTCCCTGGTTACTCAGAAGCCCAAAGAACGCAGTTCCCTTAAACTGCCTGGCCTCGTTGCATTTCAGAGCTCTGTTCATTTACAGATCTTTCTAACCAGTCTCTAAAGTTCGGCCATGGATCAGGTCAGTCTGGGAGTTCATTGATTCTTTCTGGCCCTGTCTCCTTTCTCTGAGATATATTACACTCCTAACGTCACACCCCAAATGCAAAATGGATGCAGGAAGGGATGACAAAACATCGCTGAGTGCATCCCAAGAGCTCCCCACCCTTGGTTCTGATTTACTACAGCTTGTATTGGGTTAGAAGCCGTACCAGTGTAGAACAGAAATGGTTTATCCAAGTCACGTTCAATAACATGATTGAATCTCTTTATAAACTCAAGGTAAAACTTGGTGAGAAGAATAGTGGATTGGATCTGCTGTTGCAGCAGGATTCCCGTATGTCTCATGTGATCTTGCCAAGAGCTAAAGAAAAGAGCTACTTTATCCATACAAGCTCCGGCAAACGTTTGGAACCCAATTAACATCAACTTAATGTAGATATTACTGTTGTTTATAGTACAGGAATCTTGGCATTTAGCCA